CAAATATATTTAGACTTTTTCTAAGTAGGCTATAAGTCAAGTATATTTAATGTCTCTGTTCATTATTAAAAGGACAGTTGAACCAAAACAATTATAATTCTCAGAATGTACAAGCTGGTCATGCACTGCAGAAAATGACTTTCTTACTTATTTTTGTCTTGTTTGCCAGTACAAATATCTAAAAACATTACATTTACTGGAGATCCAAAATGACTTTAGATATTATGTCTTGTTTTCTGAAAATGTATGCTTAAAAAAGGCTTTCCCTTTCATTTTTTTTTCTTACCACATTGGTGAATATTTTTTCTTGTTTTATCATGAACTAACTTAATATTTATTTATTTTTTAAAACAAGACTTCTCTTTTTATATTTCACAGAAATTCATATGTGTTTAGAACCTGAGTGTGAGAAAATAATGACAGATTTTTTTTTTCTTTTGAGTTAACGATTCCTTTTAGGCGTCAAATCACACTAATGAGGTGACAATTTAAGTCGTTACATGTTTCCATTTTTGTCTGTCCTGTCATGAAGGCTTCATGTAGACAATTACTTATACGATGCCTGTTCATTTTCACTATTAGCTGTCAGATGTGGTCTGTTGTGAGTTTATTTTTCATCTTTCCTAAACTTCGTACAAGAACATGAGCACATGAAGCAAAACATCTGCAGTCAGTCTCTACACACTAGCTTTTTATCCAGGTTAGATCAAGCAAATATGAAAATGGTCATTGTTTTTTCAAACAATTAATTTCTTTTAATGTCAGACAGGCACTTTTTTTTTTAGCTTTTAGCCTTTGTCTCCAGGATACAATAACTATTTCTTATGAGCACTTGTGTTGACTGAGACAGACACCTTCTTTATTGTATGAATGTTTGATTTGCCCAACCTTGCCTCTTTTATGAATCGTTCCAGACATCACTGTAACAATGCCGCAAACTAGATCCAGACGGGTGTTTTATACCTCAGTATCGTTCATGTACAAGGTGAAGTGTCAATTGGCCTGTTTGAGAATCACATAAACCTAATAGGTTGAGATCAATTCTGTATACCCACACATGCCTTTAAACAGCGCCCTTTACCTCCCCTTTAATTAGGTGCTGAAAAATAACGAGATGTTAATGAATTGTTCCTAGTATCCTATGCCTAACAGATAGCCTTTAATTATTCCGCACTCTTCCATCTTCCTTTCCTCCAGCAAAACAGCCAGCTGTCATGTAAGACGCTGAAGATTTACCTCCCAGTCATCAGGAGTTTTATAAAGCTGTAACACACCACTCTCACAACACTTTTTCTACCATTTGACCCTGTGCTGGGAAATATATTAACACTGCTGTATCTGCACAGGGGAACCCAGCAAGTGCTGATGCTTTGGAAACGTATAGGCCTGATAAGAGGCAGCGCATATTGACATGAGCAGGCCACAAACTTGCAGCTGGCTTAAATATGCTCCATATTATTCAGTGGGGATGTGATGCTGAGGTAAAGTGTGCGTAGCTTCATCTTTTCACATGTAGAAAACACTGAAAAGCTGCTTTGACACAGTCAGTGAAAGCGCTATAACGGTGACTTGACTTGATTATATGTCGAGATGTGTGAAACAGCAACATTTATGAAACATGAGAAAACATTTAAACATAGCCTACAAAAATAATACATTTTTGGCCAACATATATTGTTAATAATGAACTGTACAAAATAACAACATTGCATTGTGATAGAAATGTAAGAACCTGACACTAATGAAATGTCACCATTGTCCTGAAAACGTAAGATGTGTGTCTCCCGTGTTTGCACATCTGATTGAAATCATCAGCTCATTAGCAGAGAGATGCATGACCTGAATTGGTCTGTCAGATAAGGGATATGTAATTAAATCCAATTAAGTTTTCTTAATTAAGACACATGTTTAAATACAAGCATGTATACAGTTGGGCTTTCATGACAAGTTAACACCTTTGCACCTTCTAATTACGTTAATATATAAAACAAATATTGCTATATTAAATGAACTAAAATTTTACATTGTAAAATGCATCATGGTAATGATTTTTACTGTCTGTAATTAAAATGATGATTAAAAATTGTAAAGAGATAACTGAATCAATATTGTGAATAATGAAAATTACTAAATAAAAAATATCAAAATACACAAGGCAGTTGTTTATTTTCTAAAACATACTTAAAAGTTAGTAAGATTTATTTAATTTTTTTAAAGAAATTAATACATTTATTCAGCAAGGACACATTAAATTGATCAAAAGTGACGGTAAAGAGTAAAGACATTATAAATGTCACAAAAAATTTCTATTTTTTTTTTAATGCTTTTCTTTTGAACTTGGTATTCAGTACATAATCCTGAAAAAATATATCGCAGTTTCTTCAAAAATATGAAGCAGCACAACTATTTTCAATAAATGAGTTAAGTAAAGTTTTTCATTACTAGTTATATAGTTTTTTAGAAGCTACACAACAGCCAATTGATCATCTACATCAGGGGTGCCCAAACTCGGTCCTGGAGGGCCGGTGTCCTGCAGAGTTTAGCTCCAACTTGCCTCAACTCACCTGCCGGGAAGTTTCTACAATAGTATGCCTAGTTGATTAGCTGGTTCAGGTGTGTCTAATTGGGGTTGGATCTAAACTCTGCAGGACATCGTCCCTCCAGGACCGAGTTTGGGCACCCCTGATCTACAATCTTTAACAGGGCACTCATCACGCGCACACTGCTCCGCTCGTTGAGTGTTTACGGTAGCTCGCGCCTCTCGTCCTGAGTGGAACTAGTAGTTAATCGCTCATTTCGTGAGTGTAGGTTGACAGCTCTCTCCTTGTTGCTGAGTCGTCCCGGTACTTCACGTCAAGATTATGGGCTTTGATCTAGACCGTTTTGAAGGTCCCGTGGATCCGGACTTAATCTGTAAACTGTGTGGGAAGGTTTTAGAAGATCCTCTCAGCACTCCGTGCGGACATGTCTTCTGCGCCGCGTGCGCGCTCCAGTGGCTCTCCAAAGTCAGCAGCTGCCCTGTCCAGTGCCAGAAGATCTCCACCAAAGAGCTGAACCACGTCCTGCCCCTAAAAAACCTAATTCTCAAGCTGGACGTCAAATGCGACCACTGTGAACGAGGCTGCAACCGGGTGATAAAGCTCCAGCATCTGCCAGAGCACGCGGAGGCGTGCGAATTCTTTCCGGTCAGATGCGAGAATGAAGGATGCGACGCGGTGCTCAACTTGAGGGATGTGGCCTCCCATATGCGGGAGAGATGCGAGCACAGGGCGGTGGAGGACTGTAAGGATGGATGTGGACTCGCGCTGACCCTCAAGGAGAGGTCGGAAGACCACAGCTGTCTCCAAGCTCTTAGGACACACAGCGGTCTCCTCCAAACCAAAGTGCTGAGTCTGGAGAAGGAGCTGAAGCGCCAGTCGCTGAGCTTCAGTAAGAGGGAGAGCTCCCTCCTCTCCAAACTCTCCGCGCTCCACTGCGAGCTGCACATCACAGCGCTCACATTTCAGAAGAAAATCACCGAGTACAAGAACAGGATTGACGCGCTGTCCAGCAGCTGGATGCATCTCGATAAGGTCAGTAGGCTATATCACGTTGTGAATTGAGTGAACAATGTAACAGAAATCATCCCTCTAAAACTGGAAGCTTAAGTCTACGTTTGTAAGTCAAATCAAAGTGACAACCTCCAGCGAAGTTAATTTCCTTTAACTTTGAATTTAATTACTGATCAAGTTGAAACTGGGAACTCGAGTAGACCTGCAATTATTGTGACAAGTTAAATCCATGGAAACAAAGGTATTGTCAAAACATTTTACTCAAAGGTGCAGATTAATACTACTGGCAAGGCCTACTATGAACGTTTTGTGGAAAGCAGCGATAAAGGGTGGATAAGATGGACTTCATTTAACATTGAAATGTAGTGGGGCATGTTGGGACAATGTTTACAAACTGACACTTTTTTTTGAGCAAGGTAACTTTTGAAATATGGAATATTGCATAAAAAATGCAATATTATAGGCTATTAATATCCCTCATGCCATTCTTGAAAACAAATGGAAACATAGAGAAATTGTTAAACCATTGGCATGGAAATTACAATTTATTTTATTATACTGTATAAAGTTCTTATTGTATTGTTGAGATTTACTTCAAGTGGTTTTGTGTTCTCTTGGGGGGGGGTAAACTTAATCTACACTTATATGATACGATTGGAAAACAAACATCTCGATTTTTACTAAAACTTGTACACTTTAGTCAAAGTTAAGTCAATTCTGCCACATGTACAGCACATACAGAGAATTGAAATTGCGTTATTCTCAGACCCTTGGTGCATATAATACTAAACACTAATGGTGGAATATAAAAAAAAAAAGTAAATACAGATTAAACTATAATATATAATAAACAACTATGTAAAAATAAGGACATTCAAAAAAGGATAGATAAAGTAGCACAAGGCGAACACACACACACACACACACACACACATATATATATATATATATATATATATATATATATATATATACACACTTTAAGACAAAAAGGCAAAAATTATACGTACACGGCTTGTCACTGAGGCAGTGCCAGACGGACATCTTTGTACTGTTCACACCTAAAAGGTTCATAGCAGTGCCTAAAAGGGATGGTCGACCCAAAAATGAAAATCCTGTCATCATTGTTCCAAACCACTATGACTGACTTTTCTTCTGTGAAACTTGAGAGAAGATATTTTAAAGAATGTTGGTAACCAAGCAGTTTCCATTCCCATTGACTTCCATTATATTTTTTGACTATACAATGGAAGTCAACAGGAACTGAAACTGTTGGTTTACCAACATTCTTTAAAATATCATCTTTTGTTTTCCGCAGATGAAAGTCATACAGGTTTGGAACAACATGAGGGTGAGTAAATGATGACAGAATTTTCATTTTGGGGTGAACTATTGCTTACTACTACTCTAAATATACGAATATGCAACTTTTAGAGGTAGATAAGGTACACCAAATGTCTTTTTAATGGTACTGTCCCAGTGACAAGCAGACATTTTGCAAAAAATGTTCTAGTGGTGTATAGTTGATACAGTATATAACTCTTGTGACAACTTCTTTGTTACAACTAGCCCCAATCTCTCATCATAATTAAATGGTTGTTGGAATCCACTTGTTGTTGTTGTTTAAATCTGCACTTATGTGAAGAAGCGTTTATATGAAGTACTTTTATGTAATACGATTTTACTGGAGATTGATCCACACTGAGATTTCTCTCAAGACTCTCTCTTAACTGAAAACACTTCACTGCCACCAAGCCAGCATTCAGTTCATTTTCATGTCAGTTTAAAGCATTCACACTTGAATGATCTAGATCTGAGCAAGTGAAACAAAACTTGAACATCTTCACTCTGTATTCAAATGCTTTCACGTAATTACACTGCCTCCCATGATCATATTAAAGCAATCTGATAGTGAGTGAATGGTCTGTGAAACCAACTAAATTAAGACTTAAGTCTAATTGATTTGACCGGAGGCATGTCTTGTGGACTTCAATGATATAATATGTAAGCAAAAGAGTCCCTTTCTGTTCTCTCCGCGCTGTGGTTGAGTTCGACACTAATCAAGAGCTCATGATGCTCGTCTCTCTCATTGTGACAGATTTCCGCCTGCAGCTGCCATTTCAGCGGGGATGCCACTGCTAGGACTGTTTGACAGACAGCTCACTTAAGTTCAGATATTTTAATGCTATCTTAAATCTGTCATTCTTGATAAGTCACAGGCCCTGCCTTGATTTTCTCTCGACCACATCTGCCTCATGACAGCTGATCAAACCCAGCTGCTGAGAGATTTTGACGTCTGTCATAAAGTAGTATTACAAATATGGATTTAACTTTACTCGCCTTTCCCTTGTACATAACAAATATTATTAAATATTACTATTAAATTGAGTTTAGCAATACCTAGGGTCTAAAGTAAACCTTTTTCCACACCTGCTGCTGATGGTGAGTGAATTTACAGGCCGAAAATTCACTTACCAGCCATAAATATTTATATTTTTTCCCTAATCTAAAGGAAAGCAGTGTGATTTAATTTCTTCTACACACTTCACTGTGTCCTGAGTGTGGTGAACACCTGGCCACATATTCATAAATTATTTTTTTTTAGACATTTATAGTACCTTGACTGTGATTTTGCCAGATGTCTCTGAGGGTGTGATTTGTCTCAACTGCTTGATATGTGAAAATCCCCTGAATCTCATGTGGCTTTGCCGTTTCATTAGGTAGCTAATGGAGAGAGCCCTGCTTCTTAGGGGAGAGATGGTTAGTAGGGTCAGTGAAGCTGTTGAAACCTGCTGTAGCAGTCTGTTGCAGCATCTGAAATATGTCATTTCTCCTTTCTGTATATCTCTTTCTGTCCTATCTCTCTAACACAGGGTGAAGAAACAAGGAGCCTCAAAGTGACCCTCCAAAGAACATCAGGATCTCTTGGATTCAGTATCATTGGAGGAAGCTTGTGTGGGGTATGTAAGCTTACTGTGCAAAGTTCTACCATGTAAGATGCATTTAGATCAAGCACCAAAAAGGACACAAAAGCACCTTAAAAGTATCCAAAAAAGTAGTCCATATCACTTACATGCACTATATTTCAAGTCTTCTGAAGCCATTTAATAACTTTGTGTGAGAAAAAGCTTGAAATTTAGGTTGTTATTAACTGATAATCTTTGAAAAACGTGCTTTTGAGCCATGTTCACCATTTACTTGCATGATATGGAAATAATCAGCTTGGACACTCTATAGTTAGTGCTATAATTAACTAATTTTGAATTATAATGGCAAAAGAAAGTTCTGAAATGTACATTATGTAATTGAATTCAGGTCGATGGGGACACTGCCATTGAAATGACTGGGGAAAAGTATCCCAATCAACCTGAATTCACCCTGTTTATATATACTGTAGATAAATGACAGAAATAAAAACATAATGCTATGGGTGACATTTTAAAAAGTGGGTTAGTTCGTCTTTTAGCCACAGAAGGCTTTTGTGCAGTCTTTCCGAACTCGACCAACCCTTTCATTGTAAGAAAGAAAAACAAAATCAGCAACTGAGCCACATGTTAAAAGATAATTGCAGATTGCACAGTTTGAGCTCCACACATTTCCGTCGAGTACATTGTGTGAAATGCGAGCGTGGGAGCCATTAAATTCTCACATAGATTGTGTCCAAGTGGAGAGGAGAGAGCAAGCTGTGGGTTTGGCTTTCACTCACATCGCATTCTCTTCTCTAATCTAGTGGAGAATCACCACAGGCTGTTTACCACCTGTTCAGTCTTAATGGACAGCCGTTAACCTTTTTGCCATGCAAGTTTATGCACGCTGTACATACATTTATGCATAGAGCGCATGCCCTTGAGTCAGGCTCATGTTCCATTCAGAATTCAGTTGAGAGTGCCTTTTATCTTTCAGTTTAATTCCTAGAATGGAGCCAAACAACATGAAAGGGGCTTACACGATAATAGAAAAGTATCTGTTCTTCTTTTGTTGAATTAATTGAATCTTCTGTTGTGTTACTGACTTTTAAATTTCATTGAATTACAATTCAGCAAATTCCACTTCTTGACATTCCTAATTTTATTTTATGATTTTATTATTTCATTTTATTTATTTATTATTACATTTTAATATATGAAGGATTTTATTTTATTTTATTATAATATTTTATTTATTATTTCAAAGGTTTATGTTCGAAGCCCTTCTATATTGGCTAATATATTTTGTATCAACTGGTGCCAATGTTTTCACAGTCTGTCTGTTAGATTTGTCAGATCTAGTCAGACTAACAATGTTGGCGCATTGTAGGTTGATTTCACACTGGGCAGACTTCTTTAAAATGGGTGTTAGTCTGTTCATCCAGCAGTAGCGTTTCAGATATTCAACAGGAACAAAGTGTTTCATATATAAAAGAGAATGTTTTCTATTAGGGCACATAACGATGACAACACATCAAGATATATTAGCTTGTAAATATCTACAAAATGTGACATCTGTGCCCATCCAGAATGCTGTTAAAACATCGGCTTTGTCATTGAATGTCTAAGAAAAAACCTATGTTTTCATTGCCTTTTTCATTTCATTGGCCTCTTATATGAGCAGAGTAATGATGATTTCTTTCTTAACTCGCTTTGTCTCATGTGGGCTCTTTGCCGTTTGTCTGACATGATGAACATAATAATGGCAGCAGTGCCTTTAGAAATCTGCGCATCGTACTCTATTTGTTCCCCAAAGAATGCATGATCCAACTGTTGGTTTCAAAGAGGAAGTCAGCCATGTAGCTTTAGAGATGACCTTTTAAACGTGTATGCTATTTATTTATTTATTTTGTGAAGCACTAAAAGAGAAATTATAATAAAAGTAATATGAATTCTGTGGTGTATTGCAGGTTTTCTGAAGCCATGAGATTGGATTTTTAATGAATAATGACTTGATTTTCATTCTTTTACTCATACAAAGTTGTTGTGGTACGTTGAATACTTGTAATAGAGCTCACAAAGTCAAATAGACAACATTTCTTCTTTTCTTGTGTTTTTTTTGTTTGTTTAGGTTAGGTGTGTGGTATAGCAGTAAAATCTGCTTGCCCTGTCACGTTGCACTGACATTTCGATGTGTTTGTGGACCGATTACCTAAAGGCTTTCCTGCATATGCTAAAAGACATACCCAGGTGATTCACATACAGTAATCATGTTTGTGACATCTTGTAAATCTGGAAAAACAAACTATTGGAATGTTTTTCTGCTGAGTTAATATGCACGGGCAGGACAGCTGCAAGCACATTATTTTCCTCCTTCAGTTTGTGGGGTTAAGAAAGCATTCCTCCGCTGCTACTTTCATTAAGCGCACCGGTGTGTGGCGAAAACAATTGCTGTGAGCCAATTCAGAGGTTAAGACCACCAGCCTGGGAGGTCAGTGTCAGCAGGATAGTGATGATATTTTAGCCTGCAAAGTTGATAAAATGTGCTTTGAACTTACATCTCGCATTAGGGGGTCTGTTGCATCTTACAGGAAATCTAGGGTAGAAGACAGCGATCCGGGTCGGAGCGGGTTTGGAAGAAATAAGAAATATGTTTAGAGGGAAATTCTTTCTAGAACTTGATTTTGATTTTCCTGAAGAAAATAGTAATTCTCAGGCTCTCTGTAGCTTAGGCCTTGTCTTTGAACCTGACAGACCACAAAATAACTCCCCTCAAGAAAGGCGATTCAAAAGAAAATCACTCCTGTGTTCTCAGAAAACTCCGATTATGATCCATCAGCGAAAAGCCTGTGGGACCAAAAGGACACTGAGACTAGGATGTGTCCTTGTCTAATTGTCTAATGTTCGTTTATGACCTGGGTGCTTTATGTAAAGGTCTACCTCAATTTCACTCTATTCATTTGAGAAACAGTGTTGAGACAGACGACTTTGATCTCGGTGTGCTGTTTATGCGAGTTAAACCCTGTCTCGACTTCAAATCTCCAACTGCTGCTTAGAATAATCACAACATGTGGTGAATTAGATTAAAGATACAGAGAAAAACATCAGAAAGGATCATGGAAAGATTAGAGAAATGAGGAAACGGGGCTCTGACAATGGTCACCGAGCCGAAAGCAAGCTCAGTGAATGAAGGTAATGCAAACTCTGCTGAGCCTTAGGACGGAAAACTGTGCTTTTGTACACCTTGTAAGTTACATAATGCAGTTGCTGTTCTTATTTCATATGAGTGGTCTTGCCACATTGTTCATTTTTTTTAGACTGCTTTTTGTTCTTTTTTTGTTTTTTGTTTGTTTTTGTTCAAACATTTGGGGTTGGTAAGAATTTTTTTTTATGTTTTTGAAATAAGTCTCTTAAGCTTATCAAATCTGCATTTATTTGATCAACTATACAGTAATATTGTCAAATATTACTGCAATTTATAGTAACTGTTTTCTATTTTAATATACATTTTATAATGTAATTTATTCCTGTGATGCAAAGCTGAGTTTCAGCATCATTACTCAAGTCTTCAGTGTCACGTGATCCTTCAGAAATCACTCTAATACGCTGATTTGCTGCTTAAGAAACATTTCTTATTATTATCAATGTTAAAAATTGCTTAATTTTTGTGGAAGCCGTGACACTTTTTTTTTTTTTTTCAGGATTTTTAGAAGAATTGAATGTTCAAAAGAACAGCATTTAAAGTTTGTCAATTAACGAAGACTTTTTATAGCACTTGCATATCATTGCTCTCTTGTTGGTTTTGATTGCTTCCATTGTCCTCATTTGTAAGTCGCTTTGGATAAAAGCATCTGCTAAATGACTAAATGTAACACATTCATCAGTATGTTTGCTCATATCATGGGTTTTTATCTGATGGTTATGATTTTAGGTTGTAGTTAAAGAATACTGTACTTTCATATGTTAATTATTTTGGCTTCATCTGATGTTTTATGGCAGAAAATTTCAAAGCCATATATATATATATATATATATAGTGGGGAAAAAAAGGTATTTAGTCAGCCACCAATTGTGCAAGTTCTCCCACTTAAAAAGATGAGAGAGGCCTGTAATTTTCATCATAGGTATACCTCAACTATGAGAGACAAAATGAGAAAAAAAAATCCAGAAAATCCCATTGTAGGATTTTTAAAGAATTTTTTTGCAAATTATGGTGGAAAATAAGTATTTGGTCAATAACAAAATTTCATCTCAATACTTTGTTATATACCCTTTGTTGGCAATGACAGGGGTCAAACGTTTTCTGTAAGTCTTCACAAGGTTTTCACACACTGTTGCTGGTATTTTGGCCCATTCCTCCATGCAGATCTCCTCTAGAGCAGTAATGTTTTGGGGCTGTCGCTGGGCAACACGGATTTTCAACTCCCTCCAAAGATTTTCTATGGGGTTGAGATCGGGAGACTGGCTAGGCCACTCCAGGACCTTGAAATGCTTCTTACGAAGCCACTCCTTCATTGCC